TCTGGGGAGTTTTAGGCGTAATAATTTTCAATCCTGAATCATGATGAGGGCAGCCAGGGGAAACACAAGGAGGAAATGAGGCTAAATCACTTACCGCCAAGTTGATTGTTTCTTCAACTTCTTGAAGCTCGAAACGGCACGTCTGTAGAAAGGCTCATCCGGGTGGTGATCGGGCATGGCTTGAAGTTCAGCGATGCAGGCCAGCTTGAACTTTTGAAAGTCTCCATCTTTTGCAGCTGGGCTTTGTTTTGTAAAATCTGCTCACATGCCGAAAGAGGTGGAGGAGTTGGTGTTCGTCTGGGCGAGTCGATTAAGTCCTTATCCGTGGGTTCGTTTCGATTATCCATTTCCATTCGTTATCAGGTCAAAAAATAGGGGAGAATTACAGTGTCTGCTCAAGCAGGTTAGCCCTGACAAGGACTGTAGATAATAGATGCACTATCAATATGGGGAGGGGAAAATAACAAGATACTGCCGAAGCAATATGCCACGTGGCGGTCGGTCGTAGTAGCAGAGGGAGAGCGTTTGCAGTTCAACCTCACTGGTCAGCGTCCGAGCTTGTTCTTTTTCTCAGGATCGCGAATTAGAACTTGCTCATTGATTTCCTACCAACATATATACAAAACTATTATAATAAAAAGAGTGGTAACTGTTCAATTAATATCAACTTATATACAAACTACTGAAACAAAAATAGTGGTAACTATTTACAATATAGTAAAGTATGGTAGAATGGTGGCGCCACCTGCAAATAACAAATGAGTGATGGCACCACAAATATTAATATATTTGATTTGTGTACATTAATTTATAAACTGACAGATGAACCCGGGAAATACCGGATAATTCACTATACGCATTTGACTGCTTTTTTTATTTGATAAATCTTCTTTTGATGGAGCCTAATTTGCAATTCACTTAAAATTATCCAAAATTATAATTGAATTTTGACGTCATAAATTTTTGTATTGTCATTTATACGTGCGAATGAGGGGGAGTCATATTAACGTTGCGCTATAAAGCAACACGATGGCTACTGGTGAACGGGCCTCGCACAATTTGGAGCCACAGTCAGGAAAACACCGAAGCTTCCTTCTCTCCAAACCCACCATACTTCGCGTTCGACAGATTTAACATGCATCAGCCCTTCTGCAGACCACTGGCTGAGTGGTAGTGTATTGTGCGTCCATGCCACATGCCCGGGGTTCAAATCCCGGGCTGGGTAAGGTCGACTCAGCATTTCATTCCTTCAGTGAGTTGGTAGGAAGGTTCGATCTGAGCACCTTCTGTTCCGAAAATTAGTATCTTAGCTCCCACACCGAAAAGATCATCACCGCGTGGTGGCTATTACTGGTTTATATCGATACCGCTACAAGTTGATAAATGAGAAATAAGCTTGCATGGAAACTGAACACTGGGGGTTTCTCCTCAAACAGACCACTTGACCGAAATTTCTATTCATGCACCCCAGCGCCTAAGATCACGTAAATTGAGATAAGCACAGTAGGCCTTAGCCCTCATGGGCTTTTGCGTCAAAGAGTTCAGTTCAACCCTTCTGCGCATGGGGGCTCTTCAATAGTACCAGAGCTTATTCATAACCTCTAGTTCACCGCGGCAATTCACACGCGTAGAATATACCTGCTAGTATATGTGTGTATGTAAGTGTGACAAGAAAAATCTCAAAAATTGCAAATGTACCGCAATTTTTACGAAATAAATGATAGAAAATAAATTAATTTTAGAATTAACTTGCTTCATTATTCTTAACTTTAATTATTCGAAGCTTTTAAAAATGTGTGACTTAGATAAAATAACTGCAGCTTCGCAACAATCAAAATAATAAAGGTTTCTAATAAAGAATTTATATTCTTCGATTTTCTAAAAGCGAGTCAAATTACCGTATAGAAATTATATTCACATTTTTATAAATATATAATCCCTTTTAATCTTTATGAAACGATTCTTTAAAAAATAAAAATTCTCGAAATTGTTACAAAATATCCTTTTGCGCCGACAAAAAAGAAAATGTAGTTCAGAGAAATATATCCAGTCACTATTAATACAAAGTAACACTTAGATTCGTCTTTTTTTTAATGGAAAACCGTTGGAAATCTGATACTTAAGGAGAAAATTTTAAATCGCGAAATTCCTAACTAAATATTTACCTAATTTGAAATAAATAAAAAAAACCTTTTGAGTTTGGAAATTTCTCGTGTCTCATATTAAGTCAATATTTTGAAAGAGCGATATCAATATTTAGAGAGTAAAATGTTTTAAATATTTTATAATCTCCTATTTTACAATTTATTTTGAAAAATAATTTTTAAATTGCTACTGTTTATATTTTTGTTCTAGTTAAAAATTGGATAATATGAAAGGATCATATTTAATTCTGAATACAAACAAAAATATTTGATTTCTTTAGGACGATAAGGTATTTGTTTTAGTTTTCAAAAAGAGAATATTTATAATATCTTTTTGTTTCTTCTTACGCAGAACTTTAAAATTATAAAAATAACATTTATTTTTATTAACACAGGGATTTCAAAATATATTGTTGTCTCAATATGCTATAAAAATAATACTTGATGCATAATAATTAACCATGAAAATACTTAAAAATTGTTTTTGATGCGCGATTAAAGGAAAATTAAAATAATTTACTGATACAGAGGTTTAAAAATTCATTAGCAACTAATGAAACTTAAAAATATTTTGAAAATATAATCTAAGAACAAAAATTATTTCTTATAAAATGAAGTTGGTATATATAAAATTTTATAGGAATGTTTTCTGTCTATAATTTTCCATGCAATAGTTGACATCTATTTTCTGTTTTCATTTGATGATATTCTTGTTCTTGACATTTTTATTTACTGGACATAAAGTTCCCATATATCCTTATCAAATCTAGATTGATCTATTTTATTTGAAAAAAAAAGCAATATAGATCATTCGAAAAAGAAAAAAATATTATGAATTTTTTTGTAAAATCGACACATAAAAGTCTTTTCAAAAATAAAGATAAGAATACAATCAAATAGAAATCTTCTGTATATTAATTCTTCTATTTACTTTAAGAGTTTTCAAATTAAATCTTTGATTTCATTTCATTACAACTCCAAATATTAAATAGATGGTAGATAGAATCTGTAAGAGTACAAAAAAACAGTGCAGGGTTATTGTTTCGTATTGTAAAATATTTAGTTCTTTTTAAATTTCTTTTCCTTATATGTTGAACTAATTTTTAATTGACTATTAAAATTATGCAGTAGTTATGTATATTGTTTTGTTTGAAAATTTTCTCTTCCATATTATTATTGTCTGCTTTAATTCAATTTTATACATGTTATTGTTCTTAATTTATCGGATTACTTATTTTTTTGTAGATGTATAATCGTCTGTTGTAAAAGTTATGTTGCTTGAGTTGGCATCTGTATTCATTATTCTAAATATGTTATTTTTCAGTTGGTGAAAAAAATTGTTGTTTATGCATAATCGATGCTAGTTGAACTTAATATGTATTTAATTATTATTAATTTTTTTGAGATATTATCATTCATTTAAAGATCTTTTTGATAATTTGAATGATGATGAGAATAAAAGGTTTTCGTGGAACAAACTTTGGCAACAATTATTCACAGTCATTTTTAAATGATAAAATTTCATTATTCACCTCATGTTTATAACAAAAAGTTTGATGTTGTAGTAATTACTCTTTTTCTAATCCAGTTTTTTGAAATAATTATAAACAAGATTCCAAAAAGTTATACACATTTCTGAGATTTTTATAAAAAAAGAAACACCACTCAGTATCCTCACTAAATATTTCTTTTTAAAGTTGCAGTTAATTTTAAAACTGTAAGATATGATACAACTATACTTTTGTTGTCATCATGTGATGGATAAATAAGCCATATATAAGCTTTATATTTTCTTATAAATTATAAATATAAGATTGAAAAAAAGGTTTGCATAAAATAAACAAAGTCATAATGAAAATGAAATGCGCACAAGTTATTCTTAGGGCTCATTACTACATACAGAAACATGATTTTGAAAAAGTGCATAAATATATAATTTTTCTTATATTTAGCGTCTTTTGAATAAGAACATACATATAAAATTGTTTTAAGAATATCATCACAAGAAAAAGTATTTAAATGCAATTTTTCGGCAAAAAATGACAATACCTTCAAAACATTCTCTTTTTATGAGAAATGCTTCTACAATAAGAATATCTTGCCTATATGTAGGGCTTTCATACCGGGGTAGAACAAAAAATTTTGAAAAATTTACGTTTTTTTCAGAGTTATGATCAATTAAAATTATAACTGAAATGTGTTTTGTTAAAATTTATCTCCTCTGATGTGTTAAAGTTCAAATAAATCCTTTTCTAAGTTATTTATTTTGAAAATTTTAGTTCAACCCCGGTATAGAGATGCCATAGCTATATTATAGGCAAAATATTATTATTATAGAAGCATTTCTCATAAAAAGAGAATGTTTTCAAATATATCATTCTTACTTCATTTTTTGCTAAAAAAATTGCGTTTAAATTATTTTTTCTTATAATAATATCCTTAAAACAATTTTTATATGTATATTCAAATTCTCTCAACTGACACTAAATATATATATATATATATATATAAAATCATTTATAGGCTTTTTTAAAATCATGGTTCCAAACGTAGTTAGTCACCTTAAATAAGCAAGTAGTATAAAAAAAATTAAGTCAATTCCTACTTAGGTCAACAAAGAAAAATTTTATTTTAGTTACTTTTTATTAAATAATTACAACTAATATAAATTTATACATACATATGACAGAATCACAATATTAAGTGGCAAAATAGAAAGCTATTTTCCATTTTCCTTTCTGTATAGGGTGTTGGACTATTATATTTTTGTTTATTACTATTTATTCGTAAATTATAAATTTAATTATTCAAATAAAGTAGTATAGTAAAAAGAAATCACATTCTCAGAAATTTGGCTATTCCAGATGGGATTCAAACCCACAACCTTTGTATTAGAAGTTCAACTCGCTGTCCATTGCGCTACAGGGACACCTTTTCCTTTTATATATGGCGTTGAATTATTATTTTTGTTTGTTACTATTTATTCATTAATTAAATATAATTTATGAGTTAATATTTGAAAAAACTGTATTAATGCCAAGTGTCACTCGCTACAAGTTTAAGAAAATGTATTTGAACTTGAGTGGATGAATAGAAAGTATTTTATTAACGATTGAAAATTTGAACAAGATATAATTATATATATATATATACATATATAAGAAGATTGTGAACTAATAGTAGGAATTGAATATAACAATACAGAACTTTCAAAACAAATATATATAGCCTATTCAATATATGCTAGTTATTCAAGTTCTGTAAAATCTATTTTAAAACCAGGTTTTAATCATTAAAAACAACTAATTAATCTGAAACGTAATTAGAACATTAAAAATAATTTAATAGACGAATTGCAGAAATTTTGAACACACCATAAATAAGTAGGTTAAACGAGAAATTAATAACTGTCCAGAGTCAATCCCACAGTCACTGTAGTATATTTTTCCTTGACTCCATTTTTACTAACAAAAACATATATTTACATCCACAATACGCACGATATCATGCAAATCTCAAGTGCAAAACTTAAGATCTGTCAACACGTCTATCAAGCCTCACATCAAAACTAAAAGCATATGGCTGACATTGAACTCTGGCAGTGAAGTTTCAGTGGGAAGGTCCGGGTTAGGCGTTTGGAACAATATGGACGACATTTGTAACCTCGCCAGTGTCCTCTTTTTTTCAAGACGTCCGATAACAACGAAGTCAAGGATTGGTTACTTCCAGAAAAGTGTGGGTTTTCGTTATAAAAAGCTGTGGCATCAGCACCCAAGCATCCACATTTGCTTCTTCACTCACTTAGAGAAGAGGTCCTACTTCCTAGAGAAGGTTTTGTAATTAGCCATTTTCTTCAATTACTCATAATGATGATGATGAGAAGTTGTTTGCTGGTCTTGGTGGCTGCTTGCTGTCTTTTAGTGGTAAGTTGTAATTTTTCGATAATTAATCAGCCCAAAATTATTTTTAAGAATTTTTAAAGACTTTTTAAACATTTTTCTAAAGATTAGAATGGTCACAGTTCGATTTTAGGAAAAATTCCTTTTTCAAAGTCTCTTGGAGCTTAAATTCGGCAACGAAAAAACTTCATATTTTTCATTTTCCTGGATTGTTTATAAATGTGTAGTTTATTGTTTTTCTTGTGTTCATTTATCATTCTTTTAATTTTTTATAAAATAACTTTTTAGCCATCTTTTGTTAATGTCATCAAAAAAAATCTTTTTTTGTAAAATTATCAATAATATATGGATATAACATATATAGCTTTGAATCTGTGTTTGGAACTTGAATCTGGCAATAACTTGTTTATTGCTCACTGATTCATTTTGATCTAAGCTTTTTTGAATGCTTCATTAGATAAATTAGCTTTTTATTTGTAATGAATTAAGAACTTCCATCAATTATTTTCCATAGGATTTCGCTCAGAGGCATAAGCAGAATGGATGAAGATTAACTAGGTTTAAAATTGATTACCCCTTCCCCCTTTATATAAAATTAAAAGCAGTTCTCAATCAGATTTGTTTACACACACACTCAATGTTTGTTTGCATGTTTGAATATCCAAATATATTTCCATATAACTTACAATTTTATATTTTCAAAGTTAAGGTATCCCAACGTTCGGAACCGTGATTTTTCAAATGCGTACAAATGAATATTTTTTTTAATATTTAGGGTCACTTAAATTAATTAGAACACATGTATGAAATTGTTTTAAGAATATTATTACATTTAAAAATGATTTAAATGCAATATTTTAGCAAAAAATGAGCATAGAATTATTAATTTTTCAAATATTCTTCTTTTATGGAAAATGCTTCTGTAATAATAATATTTTGCCTTTATATAGCTCAGACCTCTGTACAGAACTTGAACCAGCATTTTTGTAATTATAATTTATAAGTGGATTCATCCATATTTTAATACATCAGAGTGGATAAATTTTAACAGAAAAACACTGATTATTATTTCAATTGGTAGTAACTCTGAAAATAATGTGAATTCTGAGAATAATGTGAATGCATAGTTCAGGCTCTCTGGAGAATTCTTTATATAAGCACAATATTACTATCATAGAAGGATTTTTCATAAAAGGAGAATGTTTTGAATAAAGGTGATTCTAAGTTCATTTTATGCCAAAATATTGCATTTAAATAATCTTTTTATTGCAATAATATTCTTAAAAGAATTTATAAGTGTATTCTAATCTAAGTTACATTAAATATAAAAAAATATTCGTTCGTGCGCTTTTGCAAAATCGCAGTTTTCCGAACATAGTTGGATATCTTAATGTTTCTAAAAATCAAAATCCATAAGAATAACTATTTTAAAACTTCTTAACATTTTACTTTAACTTTATTTCCACCAAAGCCAATACAAAAATAGCTTTAAAATAACTACCCAAATAACTAACGCAATGAAATATCACATTCTTGAAAGTTATTTTTTTGATAAAAGTGGAACCATCGTAAGAATAATAATTTTACACCACATTCCAATGGCATTTTTAATCGTTTTGGAAGATAGAAGTTATGCAAAATGTTATGTGAAGTGCAAATTCTAAGGTGTTAAAACATTTACTCTAAAATATGTATGCAAAGAAATAGCGGAAGTGACGCATTATGTGATGTTTGAGTTTCCCTCATTTTTATTTTCACCTTATCCTTTAAAGAATTTAAGTTATTTCGTTGAATTTATTATTAATGCGTGAATGTTTGAGAACTATTTGAATTTTACATGATGTTTGGGTATTCTATTATGTACATATTTTAGTATTTCCTGTATTTTATTTTATTAATCAGTGTAAATTTATTTAAATAGTTCATAAAGTTTTTACTTTATTAAAGAAGTAAGTATCTAACAAACAAAGGAAAAGTTGGTAAATTGGTTAAATAATTATTTTAATTTATTAAAGATGAAGATAGAGTAGAAAAAAATAATGAATGATTTTAAACTAAAACAAGTATTATAAAAAAATTGTGGATTCCCAATTTATTACAATCTTCTTTAGACAGATGTGCCAAAAATAAAAATGGTGCCTAAGCAGTTCCATAAGTAACCATGCACAATTTGAAATCTGGCAGCGGAATATCAGGGGAATCTCTCCAAACAATTCGTTTGAAATTGTGGTCTTCGGAATCAACAAAAATTTGGCGATACATTTTTTCAATGTCCACAGAAAATGTTCTTTCGAAAATTGATTAAGATGGAGAAAATATCTCTTTGAATTGTCGGGCCAACATTTAATATAGAATTAAGAGATACCGAATTCGCAGCTTTGCAGGAACTATCAAAAACTATCAAATTTTCGTTGAACAGCTATCAGGCTTCACAACGGTGTGATGCGCAAGGTAATCAATTTTATAATTTGTAACTAAATCCTCTTCCTTTGAAACTAATGTCATGTGCTTCAGTTAGGAATATTCTGGCATAAAATCTTTATAATATTTTTCAAAATTTTTATTTATCGCAAATTTTTTCTCAGTTAATAATAATCGTAATATAGTGAGTGGTCTAGAATTTCCTGATTTATTATTACATTTAAAATCGATAATTTAACAATAAATCTACCATTTTCATCAATGCGATAATTTCTTTGGAAATGCGTTTCCCAAAACTCTTCTTCGGATAAAATAGGAATGTAGGAAGATACTTCTTCCAATTCCTAAAAACGCGTAAGAGAGTGAACAATGTGATTTTTATGACCCGATAAGAGTTGACTTGATGAGGGACATCATCTTTGATTTTTAATTTTCCGGATACCACCCATCCCCAAATAGTGTTTTGAGCTATTGGATTATTCAGGGATTTAACTGTTTACCCTGGCAACAAACAACTAAGGAAATAATTAGTCCCTATAAGTATATCGATTTTCTTAGGAACTGAAAATTTAGGGTCCGCAAGATTGATTGATTTTAAATGATTTAATTCTTTTTCATTAATCGATTCTGACGACAAATCAGACGTTAACTTATTTAAAATAAATGTGTCAATTTGAAGATTTTTCATCCTATCCATAAATTGGGGCTATATTGACACTAACTGAAACGCGAGTAGCAGCTGCTTCGGAAGAGCCAAGTCCTTTTACATTAACAGGAGCATTAACTCTTCAAAGCCCTAGTTTGCTTACAAGGGACTCAAAAATAATAGAAGCTTCGGACCCGCCGTCTAAAAGCACGGCGCATTGATCACATTGACCTAAGAAGTCAAAAATAATGACCTGGGCAGTGGTTAAGGTAGAAACACTCTGACCGTGGAGGGTGTTACATTTACAAGTTCATTGCCCTCAGAAGCCTAGTCACCCACCGAAGAATTCTCGACAACATTTTTAGCGCTTTTAAAATATTCATGAATTAAAGTATTGTCTCTTTTTACAGATTTCACTCACAATTCGGGAAGACCAATTTTGTACCTGGTGACGACCAAAGCAATTAAAACACAATAAAATATTACGAGTTACATCCTTTCTTGACTTGAGAACTAAACTTTTAAATTTAAAACACCGGGTTAATTTGTGAGCACCGTTGCAATTTAAACATTTTAAGACTTTTGCTTTTAAAGTTAGCATATTTCCCAGAAGAAGAGTATGGAATTCTCAAATTAGATTTGAATTCACCATCAATTTCATTGCCATTAAAGATTTCTAAAGACGCACACCTAGGGTTCAAAAATTCCAAAAATGAATTCAAAGATGGACATTACTTATTTGCTGCTTTTTGAGACTACAATTGACGAGTGTCCAAATTAAATTTTTTGCAAAAGTAGATAGATTAACCAAATATCGCTAGAGGACGCTTCTTGTTCTAGGGATTTTAATCCACGAATCACCTCGTCGAGGCGTCAGTTTTAACTGTCTTAAATTAATATAATTTGCATGAGATATGGAAGGTTGATGTAAGAATGTTTTAATTAGAGAGGTAACAATTTGGT